CTGCACCATGATTTCCACTCAGCCCAGACTAGCCCCCATAGTGGGCAGCACTGCTCTTCTCGCTGGTCAGAGGAGGTTTCTGGGGGGCCAATGATGGCCCACGAGCACGGTGGACTCCGCAGCCCGGTGGACTCAGCAGCCGAGTTGAGTGCCTGACTGCATATCTGGACAGCTGCAAGGACACTTGGTGCTGGCTGTGATGTGTGGAGCAGACCACTTGACAAGCCACCGAGGATGTACTGGGCTCTCCTCAATCCCCCTCTGGCCTGTGCACCAGCTGACAGGCACTGGACACTGGAGACAGGGACCCTCTGCTTGGCCACTGCCTGCATCTGAACCCTCCTTTGTGCTTGGCCATCTCTCACCCACCCTGCATGTGGCATCCCTTCCAGGTTACTCCTCCTAAGGCTCAGCCCAGCCACCTCCCCAGTTAAACAATCTTCAGTGGCTCCCCATTGCTTTACAAACTAAGAACCATACTCTCTAGCTTTCCATGCACCAGCCCTCTTGACTCAACTGTGTCTATCCCTGCTTTCTTCACCCCAGCAGCTCTCCCACATCATGCTGCTCTCGCTTCCACCCCCCTTCATCTCCCTGCCTGTGGCGGTATGAATATATGAGAACACGGACACTGGCAGAGCTGCTCTGAAGAATCTGAAGTGCTGCGTGAGGTTGCATCTATATAGACCCCTTCACCCCAGGAGAACCATTCTGGGGGCATGCACCAGAATGCATCCCAATGACATACATAATAGCAGAAGCTGGCAGCACCCTAAACATCCCCCAACGGGGCAGTCAACTATCCCTGGGCCTCGCAGTGTCTTTTCCTGACCTACTACAGATTTCTCAACCCATAATCTGACGGACCTCTTACTGACAGATGGGGTCCAAGGCCCCTCGTCTTGAGCCTTGAGGGGCCCTCAGCCTGCTGCAGTCCACAGAGGATGGACCGCAGAGGAGCGATGCTCTGAATTTTCAGGTCAGGCTCTGTGTCCCTCTCCCTCTATCCCAGAAACCCAAGTAGTGTGAGAGCCAGGTCATGTGGAGAGGACCCTTGTGGGGCTTCTTCAGCTGACTCCAGCCTCAGCCCTCGGACAGATGAGCCACTGGGGCTTCAGATGCATCTGGACCTCACCCCCAACCCCCACGTTCAAGTCTTCCAGCTGAGGCCCCAACATCGTGCCCTGGGGATGAGCCACCCTCAATCAACAGACCCCATGAGCCACTAACATTGATCATTGTGTTACACCACCAAGTTTTGGGGAAATGTGTGACTGCAGTCATAGGAACCGGAACAATGGCATACGTGGCTGTTGGGTTAGTACATAGTGATTTAAAAATCAGTATGAAAAATAAAATAAAATAAAATAAAATAAAATAAAATAAAATAAAATAAAATAAAAATCAGTATGACATTTACCAGCACCCGTAGATCTCAAATTTGCACTTTAAACCCCCCCCAAAAGAGAGAAAGAGATAGGGGAGATATGTAATGTAAATTAATACACAAGAGCATGTATGTAGGATGGCATGAGGGGGAGCTAAGGACAAATGGGATTGGGGTCAGAGATGAAGGAAAAGTAAGACAAAAATCTGAATTTAAAAGTGGACATTGCCTAAAATTATTTTTTAAAGAAAGCTTATTAAGACCAAACACAACAGGTGGTGGCCGGCTGCAGTTTGCAGACTCCTGATCCAAGCTGCTGGGATTATTTGCACTAGCACTTCTTTGCATTAAGGGGCATCTGTGGTTACCAGCCCTGAGTTTGGCACTTGGGACATGGGGGACAAGGCACGGTCCCTGCTCCCCTGAGAAGAGCACGGGTATCCTCTAGGACCCTTTGCTGGGATTCTACAGGGCCCCCCTGCACTGGGGAGAGAGAGTTGGAGGAGCAAGCGAGGAGAAAAGTGGACGCAGAAGGAAGGGCAGCTGCGGGGGGTACTTCACACAGATGGAGACAGAGAGGTGACAGCCTGACTTGGAGGCTCTACTCTTCTGCACCAGGAGTCCCTCTGCCCCGTGCTCACTCATGGGTGACCGAAAACTTGAGCTCTGGCCCCTTGAGCACCAGAAATCCCGCTCAGGTCAGGGCCTGACAGAGCCCTCTGGAGAGGGTGTCGGGACCACCGACCGCCCCTGGAGGCTGTCCTGGGCTTGAGAACAGCCAGCCCTCAGAGCTGGCCGCCCGTCTGAACGCACAAAGCCTGCGCGAGGCGGTGATCCCCATCTCTGGCTCTGTGAGCAATCCTGTCTCAGAACCCGCCTCTCCCCCCAGCTCAATGCGGGGCTGCCTTGGTCTCTGGGGCTCTAGCTCTGGGACCAGCGCTGCTGGGTGCCCCAGCTGCTGCGGGTTGCTGCCTGCAGCTGCAGGGAAGCGCCTCCGAAACCCCCAGAAGGCTGGTGCTGGGAGCCGGTGAGAAGGCCCACTCTCCTCCGCTCAGTTCAGCCTGTCTCCTCCCTCGCCTCCCATGCCCACCGTCCCCACCCTCTGTGCAGCAGAGACAGTGGGGTGACTCTGGTGCCCTGTACCCACATTTGCTCCCCATCCTGGGCGCACCCAGCCTCCCTCCCAAGAGCTTGCCTTGGCAGGGCACTTACTACTACTGGAGGTTCCTAGAAGAAACCTGATCAGAGGTGAGGTTGGCCACACAGCCCAGAGCAGAGGGAATCAAAACCCAGGCTCCCCAGGAAGCCCCCCACTCTTAAGATGCTTAGAAATGAGAGTGACAGCACCAATCTCTCCTGCTTGTGGTTCAAGAAATGTGCTGAATGTGGGCGCTCAGGACACCTTGCCTAACATAGGTAGTTATCCGGAAGGCACCCATCCTCACATCCACTGTCTTTTTATCCCAGTCCCTCTCTGGCCTCTGTCTCCTTAACTATCAGAAGTGCACTCGGATTAGATGGTGTGGGTGTCTAACCTGGGGCTAGCACTTCTCTTCCCAAAGGGCTGAGGCTGCCATTTCTGTCGGGGCTTAGCCTCTTCTGGATCCATCCCCTGGAGTTTCTCTGACCCTGGATGCCCTCCAGGAGACCCGGCTCTATCCACGTTTGCTAAGTGTCCTTATCTATACAAAGTGGGAAGAGCCCTCATCCCTGTCTGCCTCCAGGCTGTGGTAGTCCTGGTATTTGGTGGTCTTTGCCCCTTCTGGGGCCAGAGAAAGTGGGTCCTGCGTAGGGTTCTGGAGACTGCAGGAAAGCACTCCCCATGTCCTTTGCAGCACCGGGAGTTGGCAGGGTGGTGAGCGGGTGACCAGGGGAAGCTGGCTCCTCAGCAGGTAGGGCAATACACCCACTCAGGACACGGTGGGGTGTATGGCCCCACCAGGAGGCCAGCAGAGTTCCAGGGCTATGCCTTGTTGGGGCCTCACCACTCGGTGCCCTGATCCCATTCCCGGGTATCCGCGACCCTGCCGTGAGGGGCCCTAAGCCCAGAGCACTGGAATGGGAGGCCTGCCAGAGCCACTTACCCTCGGGGATGGTCTCTCCCCTCCTCGCCTCCGTTTTCCTCTCTGGAAAATGGGGTTGATGCTTCCGCCGAGGTGGCTGATCGGGAGCTTGAAGCGAGTCGGGGAGCTGGGCCTGCAGCCCTCCCGGGAGAGTGGGGGCAGCACGCGGTTGGACTGAAAGCGCCCGGCTGGCACCGGGGGGCAGGATGTATCTCTCCGAGAAAACCCGCGTCCGATGAAACCGGCCCCACCCGCGAGACCGCGCTGCGAGCCGGGTCACAGGGTCGCTCCTGAGCACAGTTCCGAGAGTGGCGGGGGACGCCATGCACTTTTGTCACCGTGCGCCCTGCTGCAGAAATGGGAGGAGACTCCCCACGGGTTCGCAGTCTAGAAGCGGAGGCTCCGGGAGGGAGGTGGCCTGCCCCCAAGACCTCCGCGACCTGGGGCAGTGGCTGTCGTCCCCCCGCAGAGGCCCGGGCTCCCGGGGAGGGGCGGCGGGATGCTGGGGAGGGGCGCTCACCCGCGGGCTTTGGGCGCGCAGCGGGCAGGCAGGGCCACGCGAGCGGGGGTGGAGGCGAACCCTTCCTTACGTCCTGGGCCTCAGCCTGGGAACTGGAGACTTCTATGGCATCACATTTGGCATGGAAAGCATATTTTATTAAGTGTAAATATTGAAATATGCCGCAGCTCTGCAGCCCTGACACCCGGAGTCTTACAAAAAAATGGCTGTGACCCAGCCTCTTACGGTTCCTTGGAAGTCCCGGGGTCTTCGGGCCCCCGTGCACACGCACATCCACACACACGTGCACACACGCACACACCGCACTCGCGAGCGCGCGCACAGTTACTCTCGCTTGGTCCCACACTCTCCCCGCCGCCAGGCAATTACGGCCCCGGCCGGCCGGTGATTGGCCAGCCCGCCTCTCCTCGGGCCCCGCGGCCAATGGGCGGCCGCTCCGCCGAGGCCCCGCCCCCACAACCCGCCCCCCCCCCCCGCCCCGCCCCCCCCGCCCCGAGCGGGCCGGGGGAACCGATCACGCGGGTCCGGCCCCGCGGCGACCCCCCGCCCAGCCCGCCCGCCGCCCGCCGCCCGCCCTCGGCCGCGCTCCGCCCGTCCGCGCGCTCGGCCCCGGCCCCGGCCCCGGCCCCGGCCCCGGCCTCGGCCCCCGGGGCGTCTCCGGGCCGCGGCGGTGCTCCCGTCCCGCCGCCGCGCCCTCCGGCTGCGCCCGCGACCCGCGCGGCCCGCGCCGCCCTGCCCCGCCCCTCCCCGCCCCTCCCCCGCCCCTCCCCGCCCCCAGCGGGCCGGCCCGGGCGGCGACCCGAGCGGCGACGTGAAAGGCGAGCGAGGCGGCTGCCGGGCGGGCTGTCGGCGTGCACCCGCTCCCGGCCCAGCCCAGCCCGCGCGGAGCCGGGGCCCGACGCCTGCGCCCCGGCGGCCGCTCCAGGGCCGGCCCGCGTGCGCCCGGGGCCGCGCGCCACTGTCCCGGCGGGGCCCGGGAGCCCGAGCAGCCCCGAGCAGCCCCGAGCAGCCCGCGGAGCCCGCGGCCGCGATGCCGGACGAGCTGACGGAGCCCGGGCGTGCCACGCCGGCCCGCGCCTCCTCCTTCCTCATCGAGAACCTGCTGGCGGCCGAGGCCAAGGGCGCCAGGCGCGCGGCCCAGGGCGGCCGCGAGGACGAGGAGGACGACGACGACGACCCGGAGGACGAGGACGCAGAGCAGGCGCGGCGGCGGCGGCTGCAGCGGCGGCGGCAGCTGCGCGCGGGCGCGGGGCCCGGCGGGGAGGCGCGGGCGCGGGCGCTGCTCGGGCCGGGCGCGCTGGGCCTCGGCCCCCGGCCGCCCCCCGGCCCCGGGCCGCCCTACGCGCTGGGCTGCGGCGGCGCCACGCGCTGGTTCCCTCGGTCGCACGGCGGCTACGGAGGCGGCCTCAGCCCTGACAGTGAGTGGGGGCGCCGGCGGGGGGGGCCGGGGGGCCGGGGGTCCGCTGGAGGCCTCTCCGGCCGCTCGCCTCCCTGCTCGTGCGTAGCGCGTAGCGGGGGGCCCCCGCGGAGCCCCGGCCGGGGCGGGCTCGGAGGCCCCCTCCCCGGGACAGGGTCCCCGCCTGGGCCCCGGCGTCACCCCTCGCCGGGCTCTGCGGTCCCGGGGCGGCTGGAGAGCCTGCGAGGAGGAGCCTGGGGACCGGGGACGCGGGCGGCTCCGAAGAGAAGAGCGAGGGAAGGGAGTCGGGAAAGAGAGGGAGCAGCAGAGGAAGGGATGGAGGGAGGAAGGGATGTGGGGAGGAGTGAGAGAGGGCCAGACACAGACAGAAGCCCGCGCGCGGGTGATGGTGAGGAGCCAGGGAGCTAACGGGCAGAAAAGAAGTGAAGACAAAGTAGAGTCCCCTGGGGAAATGTGAAGGGGCTGGAGCAGAGGGAGCCATCGTTGGGAGGGCCGCATAGTGGAGGGGATCATCTGTGCCCCCAAATCCCATCTCCCCCAAGAGCTGCACACATGCACACACAGGCTGGAGCCTGCTGGCCCCCCTCTCAGTCCTTCCAGACCGAAGCCCCCAATCCCACCCCTCATCCTTTTCTGCCCCTCCTCCTCCCATGCCTTTGTTCCCTGCTGAGGGCTCAGAGGCTGGGAGTGGGGGGTTCTCAGCCCCGGAGCTGCTCACCCCTCTTGCCCTGAGTTCTGCTCCCTCTCCCTGGGCTCGCTGCCTCTCTCCAGGGCCTGCCCTTTGGAGGAAGACCCCTGGGAGGAACACCAGGAAGTCATTCCAACTCTGTCCCCAAGACTTGGCAGGCACCCCCATACACAGACACACACACACACACACACACTCAGTCCCTTCCAGCTGTGGACTCTTCCAGGCTCTTGTTCCGAAATCCATTAGTGTATGCTGGGGGTGGGGTGGGCAGGCCCCTCTTACCTCGTGGATAAACCCCCCCCCCCTGAATTGGGAGTGACCCTTTCCCAAAGGGACCCACCTTACAGAGTCCATGCCAGGAAAAGTCTGGGGCTTCCACCCCTTTCACATACACTGGATCTGGGCTCAGTGGTTTCCTGAAATCAAATGATTGCATTTAGTGCCCCTCTGGGAGTGTTTCTGAGAAGGTCTGTTTGGGTGGAATGTAGTCCCCACCTTGCCCCAGGCTTTTCTCCCCCTGCAGCCCAGGTGGCAGCTCCTCAAGATGTGGCTTCTTATTTCGTGCAATGCGGGTTACGGTCGGGGTTTTCCACCAGAACCGGCAGGCCTGGCGTGGTGACTTGTGGTAGTGCATGGGCCTCTGTGAGTCTCAGGGCTTGGGGTGTCATACGAGCAGAGGCTCCTCGTATCTGGTAGCACACACCACAGGGGTTGGCAGGGGCACAGGGGTATGGCCCAAGCCACACACACAAGCCCACCGGTGTTTGCACACCTTGTAAACACATTGCCAGCACAGCACTGGCTTCGGAGGGCTGGAGGGGTCAAACTCCACGTAGACTGCCCACCTGCCAAGCCTTGGCAGAGAGGGGGGCCTCGGGCCAAGGCAAGGCAGAAGGGCAAACTGGCCCAGGTTGGCCTGAATCTCGAAGGCTGGCTGCTGCAGTCTTCAAGCGGGAGCCTGGAATCTGGACAAGCACCCGCATCGCGGGCAGATTCGTTTGCCTGGAGGCACTGCCCCTTGCGAGTCCTGGGGAGGGCATCTTCTTACTTGCGGGAGATCAAGTGGAGCCCAGTATTTGGAGCATGAGCTCAGCAACCCCTGTGGACCTCTGTAACCCCAAGCCCACAGGCTCAGCCACGGCTGCTGCGGTGGTTGGGGTACTGGTGGGGTGCTGCGCGGAGGCCGCTGTTTTTGCGGAGCCCCATTTGTATGCACACCCTTTGAGCATGATTAGGGGGAGTGCAGACTCTCAGGTCTCTGTGGGCATTTGGGTGAGAGGTGCAGGAAATGGGTATGCTAGTGTCACCTAGAGTTTTGTTTTGGGGATCCTTTGCATTTGTTTATTCTCAGTTCTACGGAGTGATTCCATGCAAGCGGGAATTTCGCCTAGGCTACTGGCCACTGAAAGTGGATGGGGAAGGCCACTGCAGGTCTTTATTTCTGTGTCTGGGGGGCCTGGTGTGGGGCCCAGCGCTGGAGACTCGGGGTGCCCTTGTGCTGTTTGTTTTCCGGCGCGTGCAGATCTGGGAAGGACATCTTTCCTCCCATGCGGGCGGGCGGGGGTCGTGCCTGCCAGGCTTTTCTGTGTTTCAGCGCGGAGCCAGTAGTTTTGAGAATCTCTCTTCTCTCTGTGTTTCTGTTTGCATTTTTGTGTTTCTTTTCTCTCCTCTTTCCTCTGTCGTGTTCCGAGGGGGGGGGGGGATGTGCAGTTCTGAGCAAGAGTGTTACCAGCCTGTTGGTTTAAGGGACTGGGTATGGCTCTCCGGTCTTCAAGCTCACTTCTCCTGCCTCTGCCTTTCCACATCCCTGGGTGAGATCTGGAGACAGCGGTGAGAGATGCAGGGCCCCGCGGGGGACCATTCCCCTGCCGGCGGCTGGGGTGAGCCCTGGGTCGGGGGGAGCCGCCGGCCGGCCGCAGCGATTGGGCCTGGGGATCAGCCCCGGAGCCAACCGTGTGCCCCTCTCTCCCCTGCAGCCAGCGACCGGGACTCACCGGAGACCGGCGAGGAGATGGGCCGCGCCGAGGGCGCCTGGCAGCGAGGCCCCGGGCCCGGAGCGGTGCAGCGAGAGGCCGCGGAGCTGGCAGCGCGGGGCCCGGCGGCCGGCGCGGAGGAGGCGGCGGACCTGGCTGAGGCCCCGGCGGCGGCGGGCGAGGCGCGCGGCGGCGGCGGCGGCGTGGGCGGCGGTCGCAAGAAGAAGACGCGCACGGTCTTCTCCCGCAGCCAGGTCTTCCAGCTCGAGTCCACCTTCGACCTGAAGCGCTACCTGAGCAGCGCGGAGCGCGCGGGGCTCGCCGCCTCCCTGCAGCTCACCGAGACGCAGGTCAAGATCTGGTTTCAGAACCGCCGCAACAAGTGGAAGCGGCAGCTGGCGGCCGAGCTGGAGGCGGCCAGCCTGTCCCCGCCGGGCGCGCAGCGCCTCGTCCGCGTGCCGGTGCTCTACCACGAGAGCCCCCAGGCCGCGGCCGCCCCCGGGCCCCCCGCCGCCGCGCTGCCCTTCCCGCTGGCGCCCGCCGCGCCCGCGCCGCCCCCGCCGCTGCTCGGCTTCCCCGGGGCCCTAGCCTACCCGCTGGCCGCCTTCCCGGCCGCTGCCTCCGTGCCCTTCCTGCGGGCGCAGATGCCTGGCCTGGTGTGAGCCGCACCCGCTGGGCCCACTCCCGTGGCCGCCGGGGACCTCCTGGGCGGCCCAGGGAGAGCTGGGGAGGGCTGGGGCGCTCCAGGGCCCCTCTGCACCGGGGGGCGGGCTGTGCGCTGGCCACAGCCCTGTCCGAAGGAAGCGCGTCCAGAATGTAACGGAGATGTCTTCGAGCGGCTCCCAGACAGGCTGGACCCGTGGCAGGGAAGAGGGCATCACAGAGAGACAGTGCGCCAGGCAGCCCAGAGCCCCTGCAGGACGGGCCCCAGCCTGGCAGCAAGTTCACACAACCCCGCTGCAGCCAGCGAGTGCCCAGGCCCAGGCCGCAGCCCAGGCCGCAAACAGGCTGTCCGAGTGCTCCCGGGTGACCGCTCCCCAACACAGCCCCCACCCCGACATGAACGTCCCTTCCCAGGACTGTGCAGGCCCCCGGACAGTGGGCCTCCGGGAGGACTGTGATCAGCCTCGTGGCCTTGCTAGTGGGCCCAGCAGAGGGAGAACCCCAGGGAGAGCACCCCTGTGAGGGAAAGGGGCAAACACCCGGCGGGGTTGTACTTCTGTCAGAGTGTCCCTTCTGCAGACAGGGCCGGACTGGGGCATCTCTCCTGGGCCGTGGCCTCCAATTCTTCTGGAGAAGACTTTTTTAAAAAATGAATCTACTTATTTGCGTATGGAATAAAAGGGACTTTTCTGGACTGTTTCTGCTGATTTGTGATCCTCCTCTGGTAGCAGCTGCCTTGGGTCCCGGCTGTCTCTCCTTCCTGGAGCTCTGTGCACTGCTGACCAAGGACCAAGGACCGGTGGGAAGGTGGAAAGGACAGGCAGGGTCAAGGTCTGGGGACTCCCTGCTCAAGCCCCCACACCTGGCTCCCAGCAGGACCTCAGGGAACTTTGTGGCAGGCAAGGTAAAGGGGAGGGGAGAAGGAGGGGACTGTGTGTCCAAGGTCCCATAGTCCAGGGGCCTCCACAAAACCCAGAAGCCATGAGTCAAGTGAAGGTAGAACCTTTCGGTGCTCTCCTTCGGCACAAGGGGTGCTGGCTGTGCAGTCCCCCACACCTGCTGCCCCCTTCGCTGAGAGCCATCTCTAACCAAATGGGGTTTTCTTTTGGCCAAAAGAAAACCCCAACACTCCCTGCAAAGTCAGATGGGGAAGGCTGCTCCCCAGCCTCTCCTCACCCCCTGGACCATCTGCAATCTCTGGCAAGCTTGGGAGGGTGCAGACCTGTGGGCAAAGCCCCAGCTCAGGGCCTGAGTTTATGAGCTCCTAACAAAAGCTTATTCTGATAGCCTGGAGTACAGGGGCCGTCCAGCCTCCACTGGCCCCAAGATAGCCTGTTACAGGGTGAATACTGGGTCCCCTGCACAGGGGGTGAGGTGATGGACTCTGTATTGGGTGTGCTTCTCTGGCTGGGGAGAGAGGTCATCTGCAGCTAGAAAGGGTCACCTGTAGCAGAACCGAGGCCCCTTGAAAACCTGTCTCTGTCTAAGCTTCTGACTCCCAGGTTGAGATGCACAGCAACCGGGCCATACTGGGGCCTCGGTGTTCTCCGTGGTGGCGCCAGACGGCCCAGAAGGCGCCACAGGGGTCTTCCCTAGGCTGGCGATCCATCTGTCTGTTTGCCCCTGCCATCCAGCTCCCTGACCCGGAATCATCCCCTGCCCCAATGCCAGTCAGCTCCCAGTGCCCTGAGGCCAGGCCCAGAAAGTGGGGCTCCCTGAGGGGGGGAGCCCATGGCTTAGGCGGTCCTTACCCCTCTGGGTGGCTGCCTTCCAGTGCAGTGCCTGCCTGCAGCGCAATGGCATCGAGATTCCCAGGGTCCCTCCGCGCAGCCCAGCCTCCTACTCAATAGGTGCATTTACAGTGATCACCTCAGCCTTCCCTGAGTCTTTCCGGGGCTGGTTATCCTCTTTTTTGGGATGGGGGGGTATAGGGGAGCAGACCCACGCTGTTCTCCAAAATAGGTTTCACTGGACTTTGGGAAGTACCTATAATCTACTTCAATAAAACAAATTTGGTGTTATTTCCAAAGGCTGTGGCTCCCGGTCAGCGGCCAAGGGGAATATGGGGTACCCAGCAGTCTCCTCTCGCTGCCGCTCCAGGGCCAGCACAGACACATTTCTTCATCTCTGCTCCCTTCCACTCTCCCCACCTTCAAAAGTCCTCCACACTCCCACCTGGGGCTCTTCTCTGTTCTTCTGTTGCTTTCGTGGTGGCCTCAGACAGTCTGCAGACGCACCACTGCCAGTTCTGGTAAGGATACCACAAACCCGCCTGGGCAGGGGCCTCTGGGGCCAGCGCAGGTCCTGCAGGGAGCTGCCATCCACTCTGGCTCTCTGCCTTCTCGCACCAGGTGGGTTCCAGTGCTCCGGGAACACCCTCTCCACCGTACAGACAGGAAATGGTTTTCAGGAACAGCTATGGTCATGGGGACTTTGGGACCTCAAGCGGGACAATGAAAGCCCAAGTCAGAAAGGTTATCACTACAATGCAACCATTTTATTTAACTTTGTGGCCAATGAGGGCACAGTTCCAAGGTGGCCTTCGAGACCTCCTCCGCTCACCACTGAGCACCTGTGGCAGAGAGGTCTTGAGGAGGAGGGTCGCTTCTGCAGTAGGTCTCCAGCAGGTGTCCCTGGAGGCTTCCAGGGCCACAGGTGCAGGAGAAGGTGGAGGAGAGTGCAGATGCCTTGTCTAGAAACTCCCCTCTGCCTCCCGGGAAGCCAGTCAGCCAGCAGACCCATCCAGACCGTCAGTGGTCACCTGGCCACCCAGCCTGTGTCTGTCATTGCCTCAGACAGAGGAAGGGTCCATAGCTGCAAATTCAGGCTGGATTTGGAAGAAGGGCTACGGCTTTCAATGGAATAGTAAAAAGCTGACCTGTAGAGAGGGTTCCTTGCCTGTGGGCTCTGAGGTCCTCAGCTGGAGGGAGCCAGGAGGTAGAAAGGGGCTGTCTGCTGTGTGGGTGGGGCTAGGAGCCAGGAGCCCAACTTTGAAGCACAGACAGTGGGTGCAAACTGGAGTTAGTCCAGCTGGGCTCACGAAGCTGGCTCTGCCCCATACTGAGCCAGCATCCTGGGTGTCTCAGCAGGGCTAACACGCAGCCCAGGAAGCCCTAGAGGGCGCGCGGGACCAGGCTCCAGCAGCATCCGTCGCCAGGAACTCAGGGCACGCAGCTCAGCTCCTGGAAGAAGACGAATGTCTTCCATGTCTTTCTACCACACCTGCCCTCCCTGCTCTCGAACCCACCTCACCTCTTTCTTAAAAGCAAGGGCCAATCCCTGCCACGGTGGACTGCCTTGGGGCTGCAGATTGCAGAGTCCCTGAACCTGGGCAGGGCCAATAGGTCCTGGACACCTGGGGCATGCCCAACCCCTCAGTGACCTTGAGCAAATCCCTCCTGCCTCCAGGGCTTGGTTTTCCCCAAAACAGACCTGTGTGAGGATGGTGGTCTGTAACCTATAAAGGCTTCATTTTCTCTGACCCGAGCAAGATGACAAGGCACGCCAGGCCAGTGGGGACACCCTCCCACAATGATGTGGGATCGGGGGGAGTGACCTTGTGGGCACCTCTCACTTCTCTGTCCTGGCACTATGAGACCTGAGTTCCCACCAGCACTGCTCTGAAAAGAACTTGGAGAACCAGCCCCCCTCCTCCACCCCATGGAGCTTGTTTCCAGACCCTGGGAAGGTGGGCAGAACTCACCCTCGAGGTCTTGGGAAGGGCCACTGTGGGCTCAGGGCCCTCCTTGTGTCAAGGGCAAATGTGGACTTGAAGCTGGCAAGCATTTCCCCAGCCAGGTTCCTGCTCCCCATAGAACCCGACATGCTAGAAGCAGACATGCCTGCCCTATTCCTCCCAGAGAGCTGCCCTGCCAGGCCTGAGGCTGGGAGAGTGGGGAGTACCGTGGGCTCTCTCCAGCCTGCCTCATCCAGAACCATGCTGGGGGAGTGATAAGCACCCTGACAACCAGCCCCTCCACTCTGAACTGGGAGCTCTGGCCTTTGTCCTCCAGCCCACCCAGGGCTTCCCACTGAGGTGCCCTTTCAGGTAAGAGCCCAGCGGGCCCTTCTCATCAGGCCATGGGTTAGAGGTGCTCTGTGGCCTCCATCCTCCTCCACCAAGCCAGGCCTGGCTGTGTGGGAGAGGAGCTCCCTGGGAGCTAGGCTATCCAGAAGGTTCTTGGAAAGGGCTGGGAGCTGGTCAGGTGGGCACCGGGAGGGAGGCAGGAAGAGCCAGGTGGGCTCCTGTTCCTGTGTTTCCTGTGTCTGTAGGTGTCTCCCTGCTAAGCATCCTTAGTGGCCTTTTTGCTATTCTCAGAAAGGGGGCCTGAGGCTCAGAGGGGGACAGAGATTGGGGGCAGGTACTGAGAGGTCACTCAGCCCAGAGGCCCTTCTTTTCTTTTCTTTTTTTTTCTTTTCTTTTCTTTCTTTTTTCTTTCTTTCCTTTTCTTTTTTTTTTTCTTTCTTTTCTTTCTTTCTTTCTTCTACCTTGCTCTAGGAGTTCAGCTACCCATCCTGGCTGCTGACCCGAACTGGGGTTCCTCCCCGCCCCCGAGTGGGCCTACTCAGGCAGGGCCCATTCTTCTTTCCCACCCTCTGAAGTATCTGGATCCTTGCCTTGGGCTACTTTGCCCCTCCAGTAGCCAGTGCCGGCATCCACCAAGCTGCCTGCCTATGAGGTGGGGCAGGGGGGTGTTTCTCACTAGAAAGTGGGGTCCGGCCTCCTTCAATCCATTAGAAGCATTGCTGGATTTAGTGATCCAAGCCGGGTACCCGAGGTGGCTCGCTCCCCCACTGGCAGTCTGCCTTCTTGTGGGGGGGGGGCGGGAGAGGGGGATCTGCCCTCTCCGGACAGTGCTGAGCTCTGAATCTGGACCAGCAGGTCAGACAAAGGCTCAAAGAAATATCAAGAGTTGGAGGCAGCGAGTGGCTTCACAGAGCCCAAGGAACGGAAGGGAGGGCAGCCTGGCTGCGCAGCCCTTGCCGGCTCCCGAAGCTGCTGGCCTCAGTTTTTGTTAGTTTATTTTTTTAATTATAAAAATAATGTTGTTTATTATTGTTTATCTGGAAATTGACATAGAAGGATGTTGTCTGCATTTCCACCATCCAGTGTCAGCTGCTTCTGAGTGTTAGGCCAGACTGTGGATTTACTGTGAGGTGATTTACAGCTGTATGGCTAATTTTAAAAAGTTCTTACCAGTTAAAGATGCACTTATGTATTTACCAGGGAAATGATGTGATGTCTGAGTTTGCTTAAAAATATTGCAACAGAATAAACAAATTAATTAAATAGTAGAATCGAAAGCCAGAGCAGATGGCCCCGGGCAGGTCAGGAGTTGCGGTTAAAATGGGGCGTGGGTACTTGGGGGTTCACTTTGAGGCTTCCTTTACACTTCGTTTTATATTTGAAAACCTGCGTGATAAAAGTGCCTTAAAAAGTGGCCACCGGGGACCAAAAGAGGGATGTGCTGCTGGTGAC